CTTAAAACTAAGTACGACGCGGAATCCCCCTAGACCAGTCGATTAATATTACTCCAAACATTTGGGATTACTATTTGGAGTTGGGGAGTTGTTATTACGCTGCAGGGTGTAGTTTCCTAGTCGAGGTCTTCGTCTTGTTCATTATTGTCATTATCCGTGTCGGATAGTTCCTGAACTTGGTAAAGTGTGTCGGTTGTTTTTTTTTATTTTGTTTTTATTGTTGCTTAGTTGTTAATTTGTGAGAAGTGCATGTTTTGTGCTAACGTGTCATGAAATGTGAAGCATGGTCTCCCGACTTTTTTGTCTTTAAGATCTAGTTTAAGGGCGGCTTGTAGTATGTTGTTGCGTTGTCTACGTCTGAGGCGGCTAGTATTGTTTCCAGTCCGGCCCAGAAGCCGTAATTACCGTGGTCGTTTAGGTACGCATTAATTTGTCACCGTGTTGAACAGCTGGTGTGCAATCGCTGCGATAAGGCAGTTCCCAGTGGGGGGGTATTTTTTTACTTTTACTATGAAGTCAAGTGTGTTTACAAATTCCATGGAGTTTGATTAGAGTGCTTTTTTACTTTGTTTATTTTTCTTAGTTTATGTGTTGTTTATGTCTTAAGTGTCAAATTTATTTGGTCTCGGTTTGTTTTACTTGAATTGTTATGTTGACAGCTTTATTGCCCTGTTCAACTTAGGTGCGTGTCCGCGATCGGCTGTTTGGTTTTTCTTGGAAAATTGACTTTTATTTATTTGATGCCGATGATTATTGTTTTTTTTTTAGTTAGGCAATGTGCCTTGTTTAGTTCAATTTGCAAATTATGTGTTAGGTCATGCGGATGAATTTGAGGATACTTAGCAAATATTTGCAGGTGGCCTGTTCCTCCCTTGTATGGCCTCTTTTGTTTGGCCAGTGGAAATCGACCTGTTGACCGATGGTGCGACCGCTCAGGCACTGACACTTGTCACTCAACACTTTCTTGTCACTCAACACTTAACTCTTTTGACCGTTTCACTATGTTCGCCTGCACCTGTCACTTCACTCCTCCTTTTCACTTGGCCCTCAACTAATTATTGACCGTATTGTAGTCTGTACTCACTGTATTTTTTTACACTATAGTAGTTTGCACTATGAAGGTTTATTTGTTGGTTATGGTTTTATCGTTTTACGTTTACTCTCTGCATCTGCTACGTCGACTTACTCACTCGACGGCTGGGACGAGACTAAAAAAACTACATTTTTTTCTATTTGAATCAAATTTACCCGATTATTTAAATTAATATCATTTCATATGCTTTTCATGACATGATATTTCTCTGAGTGTATTGAGCGTATAGCATCGGCTCGGCGAACCCGAGAATGGCTATTAAAACTATTCGCATGTCGCTCTCGAGCCCCAAATAGGTGACAGTACGGAACGCAATGGACATTCGCACCCAGCAAACACAGGTGAAGCCGTGCAGTTCCTGGGGGCGAACAAAAATCGGCGTATGTAAACATAGGCCTGTACGGGGTCCGGGAGTGATGAGGCAATGGGGCTGGTTATACGTCTCTTATACTCATACTCATACTCATATAAACTTATAGAATTTTTACAGTCTATTACACTGTTCTATCACAAAGGAAAAATAATCGATCAAATTGACCTGCCTGGACAAAATATATATATACAAAATGTACATTTAACGAAAATTCGCCCACATACCATTAAGATGTTGTCATTTTTAATAGCATTTTATGTATCAAGATGTATAAACGCCCTTTTAGTTATTAGGCACGAGCGAAGTTAGCTGTCGATAATTTTGACAATTAAACATATTTTTCTACTCCCACCTTTAAAACGCCCTTTATCGTACATGTTTCCATGACACTAAGTGACCCTTTAAATACACATTGACAAGTTGTGGCTTTACGGCGCTTTAGTAACGGGCTGAAGCAGCAACAGGTTTTTAGTCACGGGCTGAAGTTAGTTGACAGTTGTCAAATGTCATACAATCGTTAAAATAAAGTGCCTTGTAAAATAATACTAAATGTGAAAATTATTTTATTATCTCAATACAAAAATATTACATAGTTTCTCAACGCCAATATTTGAAAAGTTTATATAAACATTGTACTGACCTTTTAATTTCGCCGGCAGTAAACTATAACTTAAATTCGGGCATGGACTCTACTGTAAAGTCCTTATAAAACATTTCCTTTACTTTCACTGTGAAAAACTGTCAATTTTCAATATACATTTTGATTTATAACCTTTATAATTGTGTTTATAAAATGTAAAAATGTGACATTTTACAGTTTCCCCTGTTGTTTCATAGATGGCGCTCTATACAAATTTTTGATTTAAATCATTTTAAGATAATAATAAGTATTTGTCGTAGAATAAGTATAGAGTATGCACCTCGTTTATAAACTTTTCTATACACTCATTAATTTAAGAACTCGCTCGCAAGCTCGCTCGTGCCTAAATTAAATTCGTGTATAAAATGGCGTTTATCAAACTTGATACATAATATACTATTAATTAATTGTGGAAACTACAAAAGTATATAGGATTTTGTATGATTTTTTTTTAAACATTGTTTGATTTAGCACTGCACTTTTTATAAAAATTAAACACTGAACGAAAAAGGTACATCAAATCAATAAACGACAACATTAATTTTCAGCCGATGACGGGTGTTGTTAATACAATGAACAGTCGTTCGTAAATTTTCTTATTCGTCAAGTTACGATTTCTGTACTCGGCAAATGTAGCTTGAGACGTCAAATGTTTACGCCCATCGAAGCGCAGTGACCAGCTCTTAATAATCATTTACATTGAAGTTGTCGTATCGTAAAGAACGTTGCACACAGTGGATTAAAATTAAAGTAAATCAAGTATATTATATTATCTATTAATACTATTTATTATTATTATTATCTATTAATACTATTTATTAAATAAAACAACTTTTTGCATGTTCTTCACAAATAATTATCAATTTGCCATCATTTCTTAACATAACATAACATAACATAACATAATACATACCTTAACTTTAAAACATTTCTTGTTTACCTTAAATATAATTATATTTATTAATACCCCATCAATATTAAGGTAGAAAATTTTACCTATTTGATGTATTCAAAATCAAAAATTTACTATTGTTTACTCTTAAATATCTTTAATAATGTTGTTACACGGTCCGTAGTTGTCATTAAAATCTTTATTAGTTACATCCATTAAACTTTAATAATTTTTTAGCTCTAACCACAGCATATGCTGTGTTCTAACTATTTTATAACTTAATAATTTAAAATTTTACAAATACCACGTAAAACCGCTTTTTGTGGATTTTAGTCCTTTGTGCGGCCGATCTCGGCCGTATCATGGATCTCTTTTCTTCCGAATGCGTTCTCTCTTTAAAATTTGCGCACCTGGCTCATATCTTTCTACATTTGCCGAGTTGTACGTTAAATCAATGAATGAGGAGCATGGATCTATGTTTGACTGTAATTAATACGATAAACAGATTTACATCAGTTTATGCTATAGGTACGTTAAATTAATAATCTATGAGCATGAATCTATGAACAGCGGTTGTTAATATAACGACCGTTGGACATAAGTTTATGATTAATACGTTAAATCAATAAACAACGAACATAGATATATGAAAGCATGTTATTATTATTATAAACGGTAGACATTGGTTTATGATTATTTTACATTGAATCAATAAACAATTACCATAGATCTATGATCCCTTATAGTATTAATACTACGAACAAAAAGGCATTAGTTTATGATTAACTTAAATTTACATAAAATCCAAGACAAACCCAATTAAAATTATTTGCCAAATTTACTTAACTTTTTATTTAAAATTAAGGTTTACTGGGTACGTGGGTACATTTTGTTTTAGAAACATAGAAATAGGAAAAAAATATCTTATACAAATTACATAGCAATCAATCATAAAAGGGGTTTCTTTAATATAAAGAGGTTTACAAAATGCTCTATCTAAAAAGTTCCAAAACAATATTTAATGTAAAAAGTCAAGATTAAATATATAAATAATTTTAAAACATATATCGACCGCCTTAATTACATGAAATCCTAAATTATTTTATTTAAAATATTAAAAGTGTATATTTTTAAAACCAAAAACTCATTCATTTAAAACTTAAAAATAAAAAAAAAACATACAAAAAAATCAAAACTGTTTAAAATAACTTCACAAGCTCACACACCTCGGTTTCGTATATTAGGTACAAAACTTAAAAAATAATCCAAAAAGGTCAAAAATGTTTAAAATAACTTCACAAGCTTACACACCTTGACTTCGCTCCATATATTTATCACAATTTCACTAATAAAGCTTTAAGGTTAAACGCGGAACCTTTTGACGCTATAAGATAAAAATTGCATGTAAAAATTCCCCAACCAAAAGTCGTGCGATGACCTTCGGTCTACGACAGCGATTCGTTATAATAATGTTGATTGAATCAGCGTACGGTAGCATTAGTTTTGGCGCGTTTTAAGAAGTTAATGGTTAAGTTCGTAAAATCAATGTTTAGTGACCGTTGGGACAATGAAGACAGGTTATTATTATTTATGTTTTGCTGTTCATGGATCTATGACGAAAAATTTATTGTTTTAAAGATAAAGAACATCGTTTAATGATCGTCAATAGTTAATTCAATACATTTTTATTATTATATTGATGAAGGAAATAATTAATTTTTGATGTTTTACATTTATCGTTTAATGTTGACTAGTTTATTGTTTCAATGTACTTAGTTATTAATCTATGATAAACAAGCATTGTAATAATCACCAATACATAATATTAATGTACAAAAAATTAACGACAGCAGTTTATTAATTTTACGTACAGTTTTTCTTTCTGTGTACTTTTTTTGTGCATTAATAAGCAGAAAAAGTTAAATATTAATAAACGCAATAAATCTTGTATAATATATATTTTATTTATTTACTTAATACATAAAAATAATTATCCTTCTAGGAGCTGAAAATGGCCTACATGAACGGCGCTCCCGAACACGGATGTCCCCTGAGACCGGGCTGTCCTTCGCCCACCTCCACCCCCGAGGAATTGGAACGGCGGGCAATCATTCAAAGAAACGACCTGCTGTTACACGAAGCCGTCATAAAAAATGACACCGAAGCCGTTCGCAGGATACTTAAGGAACCGCTCGACATAAATTCCAGGAATAACGTAAGTTTAAATATCGTTTGGGAGATACTTTTTTGTTTGTCAAATATGGTGTCGCTGATACAAAAAATAAATGGGTTTTGTGAGAAGCTGCTTTATTTTTTTTATGTTGATCTGTCGTTTAAAATTTGTCTGCAATAGCGGTCGTATGTTAAAAGAAAACTATTATTTTTCTTTATTATTTGAAATTCATTAAAATTTGATTTTTTTTTACCTATAGTACGTTTTGGTTAGTTTTAAAAGTTGTCTGTTTTAGCATTTTTTTTGCGAAAGTTTAGATTTTCTGTGCCTAAATATGCTTGAATGGCGTATTAGTTATTTATTTGTAAGGCGAATCCCTAAAGTGAATAGTTTTTATTTTTTTTAATAGCCTATAACTTTTTTGTTATTATGTTTGCGGATATGGCGGTTGAATTTTTGGAATCCTAAAACATTGTTTAACAAATGACAATTTTTTAAAAATTTTCAACAAATTACCTGAGAAAACTCAGGACAAATTAGGCTAGCCCGGTGTGTTTTTACATAATCAACTAGTAAATTAAAAAAAAATTAAAACGATTGATGTTAATATTCCATATACCTAAAGTTAATAATTTCATTTTGCAATTTCTAAAATTTTAAATATTATTTTGTATCAAAAAACCTGTTGACGCTATCTATGGTTACCACATAATCTGTCATTGTTCAACATTTAATGACGTAAATTTTTCAGGTTGTTATAAACAATTTGTTGACTAATTAATTGTTTTGTAAACAATTACTGTTAAAAAATAGTAGTCAGTTACTTATAAAAAAACATTGACAAGACAAACATTTCAAAAATTTAAAAGTCATACAAACAGTACATGCGAATTTTGAGAAAAAAAACTAAATAAAGCTGTACACTGAAAAAACGGATTTGTAAATTTACTTAAAACTGCTTTTTAGGTGACCATTAAATTTAAAGTAAATTTACAATATTTATGTAATATGATATATATTACATAATTTTTGTAAAATTCAGATACAAACCTTTAGTAAAAGTTGTGTAATAGGTATTTACTAAAATTTTGTAAAATTACCATCGCAAGGTAATATTACATATTAAAAATACTTGCCCTAAACGGTTAACATTCAGTTAAATCTAGTTTGCTGCCGACGAAATTAAAAGGTCAGTTCAAAGTGCATTTAAACTTTTCAAATATTGTAACTATTTAATACTTTAATACTTTTAAATTTTTGTATAGAGATAATAAAATAATTTTTACATTTAGTATTATTAACTACAAGAAAGGCACTTTATTTTAAGGATTGTATAATATTTGACAACTGTCAACTAACTTAAAACTAACTTTAGCCCGTGACTAAAACTGCATAAAGCCCCAACTTGTAAATGTGTATTTAAAAGGGAAACATTTACGAGAATGGGCGTTTTAAAGGTGACAGTAGAAAAAATAAAAATAAAAAAAGGAAATTTAATGAACCAAAAGGGTAGTGTTATAAATTAGTTACAAAAATATTTGTATTATATAAATTGTTTACTCAAAGTATTAAAATAGCAGAATAGAAATAAAAATAATGCAAATGGACGTTTGATATTTACGATTCCAAAAATGTGTTTTAAAAGAATTATTCTTGGAAAAAACGTGTTCTTAAAATAAAATTTATTTAATATCTGTTACTGATTTGGCTAAGAGTCACGTTTAATATATTTTTATTGTCGGGACACATGCGTAAAGGTGTTGAAATGACACATTTATACACAAAATCAACATATTTTTATAGGCTTGTATCGCTGCAAATAAAAAAAAATATTTTATAATGACTATTCCACTCATTACTTTTTGGACCAATCAGATTTCAGAAAACGAGTGGTTTTTTCAGTTTTGCAGCGATAAAACTACTATTCAGGTGATTATTTTTTTTGACAGTTCTCTGTATTGTTGGGACATTGTTGAGGCATTGTTGTTGAGGGAACCTACAGCGAATTACAGCGATAATTTTTTGAAAATTTTCTCTGGTAGTTGCTATATATAAAAAACAAATTAAATCTTAATTAAATGTTGTTTTATTCATTATGAAATTCTTATTTGTTAACTGTACATTTCGTCTCATGGTGCAATTCTATTGGCCGACATTTGGGACGGAAAAATATTCCCCCGAATACCACACGAGCTTCAAAATTATCTGGCATTTCCCTCAAGGTTCCCTGCAAACAAATAAAGTCGTCAAGTTTTTCAGGAAAAATCACTCGCGCTTCGCGATCGTGATTTTTTAACCTGAAAAACTTGACTCCTTCATTTGTTTGCAACGAACCTATCGGGAAAAATACCCGATAATTTTGAAGCTCTTGTGGTATTATAAGTGAAAATTCCACACCTGTAATTTTTAACCAATCAAAACGTGTATTTTTGATAGATCACCATGGCAACGGTTGAATTTTAGTGGACATTTTTTCCTCGTGGGTACCCAACAGCGAATTATACTGGAAATTTTTTTGACGTTTATAATGACAGAATATTTTTTTGACAATCTGGTTTTTATTTGTTTACATGATAATTTTGATACATTTCCATTACAAAGTTTAGATGTTTTCTATATTCGTTGGACACCTCCTTTCTTCTTAATGGCGAAAATGCAGGACTTGAAATAAATTAAATGTCTATGTCTAATGAAATATATATAATATTTAGACACTATTCTATTCACCTTTTTTTCCATTTAGCACTTTGAGTTTTGAATAGTTAAGATGCAAATATTCGTGAACAATTCAAAACAAATTTTCTTTCTTCAAGTAGGAGCCACAATCCTCTAATAATGCGGGTAAATAAGTCATTGCACGATGATTGATCATTACAGCAGACAATTTCACATTTTTTTACGTCGTGCCGCTTGACAGCTTCAAAACTGAAATAACTTTTAGGTTGCGGTTGACTTAGTTGCCATGGTAACTAAATAATCAAGTCGAGGTCAAGTTAATTCAAAAAATAAATTTTAATTATTTAAACACAATTTGGTGTGGAATTTTCTTACCGAATACCACACGAGGTCAAATTAAATCCGGAAATTTTTTGACCTCTAGTGGTATTACTAGTGAAAATTCCACACCTGTAATTTTTAACCAATCAAAACATGTATTTTTGATAGATCACCATGGCAACGGTTGAATTTTAGTGGAAATTTTTTCCTCGTGGGTACCCAATAGCGAATTATACTGGAAATTTTTTTGACGTTTATAATGACAGAATATTTTTTTGACAATCTGGTTTTTATTTGTTTACATGATAATTTTGATACATTTTCATTACAAAGTTTAGATGTTTTCTATATTCGTTGGACACCTCCTTTCTTCTTAATGGCGAAAATGCAGGACTTGAAATAAATTAAATGTCTATGTCTAATGAAATATATATAATATTTAGACACTATTCTATTCACCTTTTTTCCATTTAGCACTTTGAGTTTTGAATAGTTAAGATGCAAATATTCGTGAACAATTCAAAACAAATTTTCTTTCTTCAAGTAGGAGCCACAATCCTCTAATAATGCGGGTAAATAAGTCATTGCACGATGATTGATCATTACAGCAGACAATTTCACATTTTTTTACGTCGTGCCGCTTGACAGCTTCAAAACTGAAATAACTTTTAGGTTGGGGTTGACTTAGTTGCCATGGTAACTAAATAATCAAGTCGAGGTCAAGTTAAATCAAAAAATAAATTTTAATTATATAAACACAATTTGGTGTGGAATTTTCTTACCGAATACCACACGAGGTCAAATTAAATCTGGAAATTTTTTCTCCCTCATGAATATTTTTAGAAAAATTTCCGGAAATAATTTGACCTCTAGTGGTATTACTAGTGACTATTTCCCTCGTCCTAATTTCCAACAATCACAAACGCGCAATTTTGAATTACAAATGGTTTCTAGGTGAAAAAACTGTGTGACAGCACCTGTCAGCAGTTTATTCGAGTTTACCCGCGGCAAAACTTGACAGCTGTTGTCACCAAAAATTGCAATTTATATTTTAATTGTTAACTGTTACTCATGAAATAGTCTTGTCAAATACCATTCGGGCATCTAATTTTTCCTGTGAAAAAAATCGAAAAAACACAATGCTAAGTAGGTAATATTTTTTAACAAAATGCATTCGTGCAGGTGCAAAAATCCTCCTCTTCGACTCGGATTTTTGTTGCCACCAGCACTCATGCTTTTTGTTAAAATATTACTTAGCAACGTGTTTTTTCGATTCTTTTCTGAAAAATTAAATGCCCTTATATAGTATACTTACGAAAAAACCACTCGTTTATACTTGTGGCATAGCAACCTATTGGTTACTATGCGAAAAATAATTTTCAATGTTGACGTTTCTAATTTAAAAGAAAAATGTCAAAAAAAATGCGTTTCGGTCAAAAAAATCATGCAGAAATTGAATCCGCAGTTAAAGAAACAGTGCCTAAAAACACCAAAAAAACGAATACATCCATTTGGAAGCAATTTATGGATTTTTGTGAGGCAAAAGGATACCAGTTGCTGCAGTCTACACCACTAAGTGAACTTGTAAATATATTAGAAGATTATGCGTTCAATATGAAGAAACTGGATGGGTCTGACTATAAAGAACACTGTATAAAGACGTTATGGAACGTGACAGCAAATATGTTACAAGAAAAATACTTTACAGAATACAACATTGTTTTTAATCCCTTCACAGACCTGCAGTTCCAAAAGGCGCGTAATGCGCGCAATGCCAAGAGGAAAATATTGCAAAAAGAAATTAAAAATCAAAAAGTTAGTTCAAAAGCACTTGATATAAAGAATATTTACAAAATGGTGTCTCTTTGGGATGAAAACTGCCTGGATGGATTGCAAAGGAAGATTTTTCATATTTGTTCTTTTGAACTTGCATGGAGGGGCAATGAAGCTGCGTACAGTAAAATACATTTTTTCAAAAAAGAACTAGATTCAGAAGGAAAGTTTATGGAAAGAATTGAATATAATACAATATTTTCTAAAACAAA